CCCCATCCCAAAGAAAGCGGCTCGGACGGCTCGGAACGCCTCCCACCCCAACGGATGATATGATACGAACCCGCGACTTGAATTTTGAGCAGTACATTTCGAAATGGGCTAGAAATTCCAAAAGTGCACTTTTTTAACATCCATGACTTTTCGGGAGTGGAATTTTGTTGCAGAAAGTTAGCGATCGAATACGCCCCCTCCTCTCGTTTTGATTTTTACAACGATGGAGTACGCTGAGTAGCAGTCCCTGACGACCTCGTCGAGATGTTCTGGTCGAAGAAGAACAGACAAGTGTGTACAAAGGCTAGTATGACATCCTTCCCAAGTTTCAAGGCCAAGGTTCTCATCTGCATCAATTTCCCTGCAAATTTTTTCAAGTCAAACCTGTCGGAACTAATTATGTGGAGGTGGGTTTCTGTGTTGAATGGCGAAACGAGTCTTTGTATGATTGCAAGACTGGGAACCATTCGTTCAATCAAGAAGCAATAATGTGTATGGGGATCATCGCAAGAGTGCTGAGTTATGAAGAGTTGACCTCAGGCGGGACTCGGGTAGAATAAGAATAGGGGGTGATTTTCGCACGCTGCCAGCACTCACTTCACCATGGCAAAATCATTCAAGAAGAGAGGGCGTGTGAGGGAACGTGTATTGGACCGCAGCATCTTTTGCTTGTGTTCCAGTCCACGTCAGGGCACAGCATTCGATGGGGATTTTGGTCGAGCTTTTACGACCCCCTTTTTTTCAGGGGCTGGTACGACCCCCCCCCATGCTCGTACGATGTACGTCGCATGCTTACTACATACCCCCCGCTCGACGACTTTTTCACGAGTGATGACATGGATTGGCTGGCTGGTGGTTTGTGGTTCTATACTCGGCGAAAAAAGTTGTTCGAGCGCGGGATGAGTAAGCATGCGACGTACATCATAACGGGCGGTTCGATAGTAAAGAAAAATTCATAAAACTCATGAAGTGAACCACGTAACTCCTAGACAGAAATACGACCTCCCCTCCCAACAATGAGCAAATACGACCCCCCCCCTCCAAAACGTCGCAAAGCGAGAAAATAGCTATAGAAAATTTTTCCTAGCCCAACGACGACCCCCCTTTTGGAGCTCATACGACCCCCCCCCCCCCATAGGGGACATCCCCATCGCGAACCCCTGCAGGCTCACGTACAGTCGCTCCTCTCGTTTGCCACGCGGCCATCATGCAACCCTGCTAACTCCCGCCCAGTCAGACCGTTTTGAAACCAGTAACGTCCATTCTGGAGGCCCTTCAGACGCCGGAAACCGCCACCTAACCGTCCTATCTGATAACCCCGTGACGCGCCGCACGTCCATCCCTTCTTCATCTTACCCCCTTACCAGTTATTCTCTAAAACTCTCACCACACAACTCCCAGAAAAAACTGTTTCCCTTCAGCTCGAAATCCTGCCACATTTTAGTTTTCATTCTTTCTCCCAAAAAACCTCTGAAAACGACGAGAACCCAAAAACAGTTGTTTCGCAAGGCGCCACCAAGAGGTGTGCGACCTGCCCACTGTATTCCTCCTTGAGTGGTCAGATGCGCTGGGAATTCCCGGCGCTTTACAAACGGTTCCCTGCGGATTAAGCATAGAAAAAAAAAGCCGTATTTTACTTCTGTTGCGCAGATCTGATACTTGTCAGGGAATAAGTCACCCCATTATTTTGAACCCTGCCATACGGCATTTGGCCGGGTACACGAGCGGCATTTGGAAATGTTCGCAGGAAATCCTCCGCCTGGTCCATGACGGATGACCATTGCCCATTCCCTAGTGGTGCGCTGCTCCTTCCACGAGGTTGAAGATGAGGGTCGCCCAGTGAGAAGTGCAGAATGGCTGTCTGTCCCCGCCCATATTCCGCCCTTGTGGTCATTGTGGACCATGATGGCTTGTTGAGACGGTTGCCCTCACTGGACTAACAATAATTTTGGAAACATAGTAATCCGCTTCCTTCTTGAACAATGGGGTCTGTATTTGGGAAGAAGATTTACAAAATTATCTTTGCTCGGTCTCTGGAAATATGATCCAATACTTTCCATGGGGCGTTTCAGGGACTGGGTTTGGCGCGATGCCAACGCCCTGTCCATTGTGGAAGCTGGCACGCGATCAATTAGTGGAGAGTGAGTTAGTGCCGACTCAAACCCAACCCTGCCTCTTAAACGCCTCACAGTTCACAGATTGTAGATACCGTAGCTGACTTCACATACTTGGAATTCTTGAGCGTCTAGTCACCAGCTCTGCATTCTTTGTTCCATCAAAAAAAGCCATCCCTCAGAAAACCACAAGAATTTTTCGGTTATCAGTGGCTATCTATTTCCGATTGTATTTTTCCTGATTACACTTCTGTGTTGCCGTTTGTTTGCCTATTCTACGGACTTAACTGTTTGTCTATCTAATTAGCACTGTTGCGCTTGTACTATTTGTGTTTGCCCTTGGGTTATTAGGCTGAGTTTGTTCAGCGGCCACGGCTGCGACAATCGTCTTTTTCAGTGGTCCAGAGATATTTGTTGGACAGATGAACATGCTTTTCCCTTGCGAGAAAAGATTGCCCGTTTGGTGGCCTAATGCTCTTGAGTTCGATGCTCGAGTTTATCCTCCTAGAATAAAGCAACTACATAAAAAAATGGCGTCAAGACCCCGTAAAGGCTGTTCCCCATAAAACACCCTTAAAGCACAGCTCTGCAAAAACTGCTCACCTAGACTGCGTTCATACTCTGCTGCAGCATCCACCAGCGACCATCAGCGTCCAGCGTTTCAAGTGTCCGTCAGCGTCAGCGACTGGGAAGGCATAGATATCGATCAAGCGAACGGCAGCGCATACCAGAGTCTACCAGCGTCCACAGCATCCGCCAGCGTCTCGAGAGTCTAGGAAAGTATGGATATCGATCTAGTGTCCACCAGTAATTATTAGAACGGTGTTGTATAGTAATACGCTGCGGGTGCACACACCACAGTTCCAAACCCAATCCAGCTTCCTGCTCCCTCCTACTTCCCATACTCTACCAGCTATCTGCTACTCTCCTAATTCCCCATACTGTCTACTCCTGGTCGCTAGTGGACGCTGGTAGACGCTAGATCGATACCATACTTTTACGCTGGCGGACGCTCGAAATCTGACGGTCGCCTAGGTAGACGCTACGCGAATCGACTCACGATGGCCGCGACGCAGCCTCAAATGTACCCTCCAAGGCAAAGCACCATTCCATCGTTTACGGCGAAGAGGGAGGTGCAGAATTATTCAGGGGTTACACTGTTGCTTAAAAGACATGGGACACCGACAATTCTTATTATAAAAGGATAAACAGCAGATAAGTCTTCGCCGTTGATCAATCCCTTTTTGTGGGATGCGGCACGCATTCTACTTCCATTCAGAATCGTAGTGGGTTATTGAATGCGATGTGGCCTATACAATGACTTGCGGTGGCCAGCCGATGTACAAGTCAGTGTTTTATCCTCCCAGACGAATCTGGTACCAATTCACCGTCCCCGGAGGGTAGAAGGCTTGGTTGGCCTGGGCGGGAGTCGACCCGGGATTCGAACCCGGGACCGCGCGAATGGTGAGCGCCCCTTGTCACTACACCATCTCCGCCTCGCCAATTCTATACTTGCTCTTAAATACGTAGTTCTAGGGGTGCTATGCAGTATGCTGAGAAAACCTTTGCTTCGCGTGGCACTGGACGAGCGTTTTTGGACGAGTTCCCCGTTGCCATCGCGCCGATAACCGCTTTCATAGCTGCACTTATGTCTTCAGCATCGCTCCATAGCAATTGTACTTCGATGATAAAGGTTAAGAGTATCATTCGCATGTGACTGGTGCGGGCCAGTGTGGCGGGCCGGTGCGGTGGCGTATGCGGTCGGCATGTTGCTCCTCAGTTTTAGCCGACCTGTACTTGCCAATTCGTTGAAAATGCTTTACACAGGGTCCTAGGGGGTCTTTTTTATGTGCTGTGCATACAGACCTTATAAACGGCCTCGGCGATTTATGTGTCACTTGCCTTATGAGAAGATTGACGAGTTATTTTTTTTCCGAGTTGTTACCGTTAGATAATTCCTTGCTGTTAACTAAGCGGCCCCCTCTGAGCCTCGAAACAATACTACAATGGAAACATTTAAGGATGAAATGGATCGCGAGCTGCAAACTATCGAGGAACGCTGGATGGAACGTACTCGAAACACCATGCAAGAGCGTGATGCACTTCTACAAAAACTGCCAGCAACTCGAAGAGCAAGGTGAGATTCTTACGAGCCGACCTGAACAGGTATTTTCCTCTTTCCATACATCTTCCAGTCCCACCAACCGGTCCCACCTAAGACGTCTTTTCAAGGGCTGTGGCCTATCGACTTGAAGTGGAAGAATCGCGAAATCGAATGAAAAGTCAGCTGGAGAGCGTTCAACGGGACTATGAAGAGACGATGGCTGAAAGGAGTAGTGTACTGGAAGAGAACACTCGTATGGGAGAAGAACGTGATCGACTCAAACAGACTGTTCATGCACTTTCACGAACTTTGAATGAGCTACGTGCACGATGCGGTAAAGTACAATTTCACTTCAAAGTAACGTCATTTATTTCAAAGGGATCACAGAGCTAATTCTCATGATAGATACGACATGTGCTGAAAATCGACGGAGGTAAGCCATGGTTGTTATTCCCCAGTAGTACTATCCTTCCTCCTAGTTATGTGTAACAAAGTTGGGGACTGCATTACGGCTCACTGCAAATAGCCAGTATGTTATTACACCTGGGTTCAAGGAAGGTTAAAGGTTAGGTGATTGGACAGGATTCAGTCACAGGAATTGTGAGGCACACTTTACCTGTGGGGCACGGCCACATTCGGTTGATATCGTCGCAGTCAGTCCGAGCGCTACAAAAGGCACGGAATGAGTCCACTCGCAGCGTTTTCTATTACTGGTTGTTTTCTTTCCGAGTCGCTCAGTACCTTGGCGGGCAGACATATCTCGCCACTCCGGTACCGCCCGCCTGACTGCGGACGATCTCACGTATAGTTTCAATCTCGGTATCTGGGTCATCCACATAACGTTTTCTACACCCAACTGTCACGTCATCTCTTCTGGGTTTTGGGTCATTGGACAAAAACATATTGCTAAAATATTAATGGGCCCACTTCTCTAATCTTCGCTACTTTTTGGGCCCTGCACCGTACGTATCACACTCGAAAATACGAAGCGAGCATTAGGTTCGCCAGTGGACCTTGTTGCTGTGTCTTGGACCGTGGAGGGCGGGTGCATTTTCATTTCTGAGCAAGTATGCACCATCTGCCGTGCATGGTCGCGGAGGGCAGTCAAATCATAGAGAAAGCAGCGCGCACAGCTATTGATTGGGGATGGCGCTGTTTATGACGGGCGAGGGGGGGGCATTTTATGTACTATCACTGCTTCCCTTGCTCCGGTTTGCAAATCTCACTTTGGTAAAACTTGTGAACGCTTGTAAAGCTGGAGCAGGATCGTCTAGCCACCATCCCAAAACGTGTCAACTCAAGAAAACGCGGCCTACCTTAGCATGAGAGTCGACACACTTATGGAAAGCAAAATGCTCCCCCCCCGATCGATAAACTGCCGCCGTTGAGATTTTAGTCGAGTGCCGTACGCCCCCCCTCCGCCTCTCTGTCCCTCCGGATCAAATTGCAGGCCGGCTCTCGCCGTGCGGGGGCGAGCGTCAAACAAAAGTTTTCACCCGGCCCAAATACGACCCCGCTTCCTCTGCGCGGAGCACGGAATTACGGATTGACGTCCAGTATGGAATTACCTCCGGTAGCGACCGCTGACACGGACGCAGGCAGCGAGAGGAAGACGCGACAGGGTTGGGCAGGGATCGCCGCATGTATGTGCCTCGCTCTCTCGCAATCGCGCACACCCTCGCGGCAACACACTCAATGGCACCTCCGCGTTGAAGTCAACAGGGGATATTTTCACTCATTTTTCATTTGTTTTCTCTCGTCACGCAGGCAGCCGTGTTTTGTTTTTGCTTACCAAGAGACGCCGTCTTCTACAGAGGCCCAAAGTCCATGGGAGAGGGTGGGGTGCAGGACTGGTCCTGTGGGGTAACCCGCCGACCAGCATGACCTATCCGAGAAGTGCAATCTTCGAGTAATCCGCTACATAATCAGGGTGAAAATGAGGAGTCGCGGCGACTTGGCGAGAGCGATTGCTACCAGCATTGCCATGCGCGACATTCGGCCACCCAGACTTATTGATTCAGGCAACAATCGCAGTAAGTTGATATCAAGATAGCATTTCAGTTGTTGCGCGTTACTTGCAACTCGGATTTCTTGGCACACCCTTAAAATTTTGGTCGTTGCGCGTCACTGCAACTCGGATTTCTTGGCCCACACCCGTAATAACACCGCTGAAACTTTAGGGACCCTTGAAACGTTGCCTAACATTTGCATATTTCAGCAAAACGAGGACGACTTTCCAAAACATCTCTAATCGCTTAGAACACACTAGGCTGCTCTTGCATTGTGAGTTTCCAAAAATTGTTGCCTCATTTTGGTTAACTAAAATGAAAAGTGTGCATTCCAGGAATATGCGTAAGAAACTGCCTCAGCAAAGGAGAGAAGCGAACAGAGGCATTGGAAAAGTTGGAAAGGCTGAGGGTTGAATGCGCAAGATTAGCCGAAGAACGCGATGCAGCAGTACGAGAAGCGAGAGCGGCTGATGCCGGACGAAGAAAGCGAACGCTCGCTCGCTCGAGAAGATTGCGCATGACGGTGTGAAAAAGAACCTATCACTGACCTCTGGAATACGCACACCATAGAAGTGGCCCTAGTATGTTGACCTCTTTGCAAGTAGTCTTTGCCCCTAGAGCTTTTTCAGCCTGACCTTCTCTATAATCGCTTCTTTTCAGCCTTATCCAAAGCCGAACCTGGGAATAGTGCTCAGTGGGGGTAGAACTGATGACCGTTGCTCAATTCCTGCTCCTATCTACGTCAAAGACGTCCTCATCGGTTCACCTTTGGAGAACATGCTGAAGTAAGTGACAATATGATCTCTTTGTTTTCAGGGTCGTGCGCTGGCCGACTCACATGAGGAGCTTCAACAATACTCGATGTGGGGAGGGGGCATCGCTAAACGGGCGAAGGCGGAGGAAAGGCTATAGTTTGTTTGCTAGGATGCGTGATGGCGTGTCAGGCCGAAACTTGTTTGGCGCGGGACGCGGTTTTTCTCAATGGAAACTGTTGGAAGAGAGCAAGCGACAACAATTGGGGCTTGCCTCCATCCATCATGCTTGGTATAGCTCTGATTGGCCTTCAGGCTATACCAAGCCATGATGGGGGCCTTCTCCTTTGCCAGTTTTTTAATACGGCCTCGTTAATCTAAGCAGCAGCTTTCTGAATGGAGTTTACCCCTGCGACTTATCGTATTGCATTAGCTCGTGACTCAAGCTGAATTCTGTGCTAGTTTCGAATCCGTCTCTTTTCGCTGGAACCTGGAACTGTTAAAGCGAGATCGTTATTAGGCATGTGAGGGGGCTGACATTGGCAGACGCAGCAGTCCACAACGATCAGCGTGAAGCGCCGTCAGCTCCGTGACCCCCAGCGTGACCCCGAAATCGCGCAAGTGGATCGCTAAAATCGCTATACTTGAACGACCTGGGCACCGTTTGTCCTTGCTGCTCCACTCCCCGAAAACGGACCGATGCTCTGATCTAGCTCTTCCTCCAAATCTGACTCTGCCAAACTATCAACGAAAGTAGCTTACCCACTGAAAACGGAGATGAAGATGCCGGCGCTCTTGAGACGTATGCTAAGCGTCTTCCACCAAGTGGTTATGCAGTTCGATTTCAGGGGGGTCACACTACCCCTTGGGGAGGTTTTGAGCAGCTTTGTTGTTTTGGGCTCTTTTCACTCTATTCCGAAGCAAATGAATATGATTTTTCAAACGAATATGATTTCTGTGTTCGGGTGGATGGGAGGGGGGGGGGGGGGAGCAAAGGGGCTCCAGAGTCTTGGAGACGAACTTCTGTTGAAATCTACAGTGGTCCTCCTTGAGGTCGAAGTCCCGTTAGAAGTTCAGGTTTCTGCCAGTCGTGAGTGAATGGTCGGTACCGCTCCAGACCCATGCTACGCTAACACGCCCCGACTGACTTCAGTGATAACGACTGTATTCACAAGGAACATTTCGGTCAAGATCTGACACGAATTTCAATGAGTGGGACAGAGGCTGGTAAATAGTGCTCCGCGATTGAGATGCGCTCCGCCCATCTGAGGTCTTTCTCTTCCCACCAGTTTCAGATTCCAAATGTCAATAAAAGTCATCATTATAGTAGGTAGTGATCATTACTTTAGACGGCTTGACCACATTCTAATGGTCAACGACATCGATGTGATGGAAATGGATCAACGAAGTGTCATAGACATTCTCAAGAACAGTCATCACCTGAAAATGCTGATTCGGCGACGTGCTAACGCTTCAAGTATTCATGAGGTCACCTTCACCTCCAATCATGGTTGGTCAAATGATCCTTTTACTCCTCCTCCTACTACTTGTTCTGAAATACTCTTACTATCTCCCATAGCATTAATCCCGTCTTTTGGAAGATGGTCCTAATTGATAGCCTTGTTGGTAGATGTCATTTCTGTGGCGTATCCAAGACACCCCCTCTTATCAGTGTGCATTTTTGTTCAAAAGACCATGCTACAGAAGGGACTCAAGGCGTGTCAGCGGCTCATGGGTTTTGCGCTCCACCAGCTCATCTTTCCCAACACTCAATTGACGTCTAAGCCGCAAAGTTTCATGAAAAAGAGGTCGGTGCCGCACCAAAACCAACGCGCGGCTGACACTCTCAACTGGCTTCAGTGATGTAAATGTACTTGGTCTGGTGAGAATTATTTTGATAGCTGATTCCCCCTCACCCGGATGTGGTTAGGGTGGGGAGAAGTTGAGGGGTCTTATTTATTATAGGGGAGAAAGTTCCTTGAACATGTTTCCTGTTCCCATGGACATTTCAGCGATATCCGTGAGAGACAGGGTAATAGCGTGGGCTCATTTCCGCACCGTGAACACTCCCGGATTCAGTTATTGTCGAGGTCCATTCCGTTGAAAAATGGAGAAAAATTATCCCGGTCCTGCGATATGATCTATCTACACCCCTTATCCCTGAGAAGAAGTAGGCGTGGCAATCCAGCATGACATAGGATGGCTTACTTCTGGGATATTTCAACTCGGGACTTGGGACAACTGTCATCTTGATCTTGATCTGTGTTGGCCAAAAGCATGATCTCAATTGCCCCAAAATGAAAACGTCTCACGAAAAGCTCAGCTGCCAGCACATTCAGTTTAAGCACGCAGCCACGCCTACCGCATCTCAGGGATTTCTAGTATAGAGACATGCAGGGGTCAGACGATGTGCAGATCACTGTTTTTGTCCTCACAGACAAATCTGAAACTAATTTACTGATCTCGGAATTTGGAAGACTTGGTTGGCCTGGGAGGGAGCCAGTCTGGGATTTGACACCCCGAGCGCGCGGTCCACTTGCCACTACATCACCTACACCAGACCCAGGCTGGTAGATCTACTGATAAAAAGCTCAGTTACAATAAAATTGATGCAATCCAGAACGTTCTTTCAGATATCGGAATCGAGTTGGGTAACGGTGTGTTCGTGAATGCGGTCAATGCGGGTGGTTTGGCGAGTCGTGTGGGTGTCGAGCCTGGCCATCGTATCGTGCATGTCAACAATGTGCCTGTGTACGATGCCAAGCATGCGGAACAACTCATAAGATGTAAGCTGGACGTCATTATGAATCCTGGTTTTCTCTAATGAAAGGTCATTCAGGTGGCAGTGGACAAGTTGTTGTGGGCCTGCTGGACGGTAAGAAACGTCCTGATCCCTATGCAAAGGATCAACCGTCTAAGCAGAAAGTGACACTGTTTTCTAAGGTGAGTAGAACCCCAAGGAAAGTGCGTTGGATGAAAGGTGATTGGTAGAGGAAGAGCAGGGGCCAAACTTTGCATGTGACCTTTTCGCTACAGATTCTGAGGCGTGTCAGGGGGGTGGGTTTGATGTGCGGCCACCCTGTTCTCCACCAGTTGTTGAAGTGTGCAAAGGGCACAGGCTGTGGAAATTAGGTCGGCGCTGCGCCAAAGCCAGCCCCCCCCCCTGACAGGCTTCATCATCCACAGCGATAAGGACTTTATCTGAACGCACTGGATGTGACTGATCTGTTCAACCCTCCGAAGTCACAGTCCTCGCTAATCGGATGGACGGAGGCGAGCCTTCTCCTAGGCGTTCCTGGTCTACCTTTGAATGCAAAAAAAAAATGAATACTGCTGTGCTGTGCACCAGTTTGCTCCATCATGACGACCTGCCGTGAACCTAGGACCATATTTTCGCGCGGGGAACCCGGTAATGAGTCATTCCTTAACTGGGCGTATTTAAGCCAGACCCTAGCCCTATACAAACAGTCTCTCACCGATACCTCCTCAAAATATGTATCATGAAGCTTTGCAGATCTTTGGCCGGCAGTCGGTGGATAAGCCCAGAGTAGTTGCCAAGGCCAACATCGGTAACACCGCGGGAGAGCCAGCGTTCCTCCGACAGGGATCGCTGCGAATTCCCTCTCAGCAGCATGTCTCACCAGAATTAGTCCGCTACGGATCGCTGAGGTTAGTTTGGCCTCTTTTTCCTGATAATTAATTATTTACAAGAAATAATGTTCTTATTCAGAGCTCCACAAGGAAGTGCGGAACATGCGAAGATTGTCGAGCAGTTGGATCATTTCCTCAACAAGAATCACAGCTTGTCAGTGCCTTTTTCATATTTTCCCCTCAATGGGGCTTCAGTGCTTTCGGACGTCGTCCAAGAGATCCGAGTTACGGCGGCGCGCAGAAAGAAGCTGAAGAAGGGGTTTCCTAGCTAGTTGACTTATTTCATACTTGCGCCTTCGCGTGGGTTCACTCAGGTCCTGGTGCGAATGCGGCGCACGTGACGCCACTTATAATGCGACTTTCGCCACGTCACTGCTGCTCGGACCTCATCAACTGTGGGGAGAAACGTTGGGAATAATATGCCACGCCATGACGTGGAAAAGTCGCTCGCCACATGCCCTCTCCAACTGCCTTATTGTCACCCTACGTTTTCAATACATATTTTCAGACGTTCGTCAGTGATATGTGAAGCGACGGGTAGCACCTGGCCGAAGTCCATACCATTTGAGGAGCATCCTGCCGGCATGGCTCCACGACGACGCCTTCATCGACCATCAGTGTTCCCCGTATTCGCTCCCCAAAACCATGGGGGCCCCAGGTATGTCTGCGGTACGCTGTTGTTGCACTTTTTGACCGGATAGTTTCGAAAGGCGATCACCTTAGCGATTGAAAATTGGGTACTTCTTTCAGACTGATCCGACAACCATCTGAAGTATCGTCTACTCGATGCGGTTGTTCATCACCGTCATCGGCATGGTCGCCACGCTCCACACGGGACTCTTACACATCGGATGGGCGACTTCCCGAGAACAGATTGATCAAATCTCCTGCTCCCACGACCGCATCGTTCACCCATGCTCACAGAGTTTCAGCTTACAGGTAATTCTGATTAAATGGAATTTTCATGACGATCATATACAGTGCTTATCGGGTGGAGGTGTCCACCCTGGTGCGTGTGTAGTGTGTGTATCGCCCCAATAACGCAGTCTGTGTGTGTGTAGCTTTTGCGCAGCCTCCAGCCTTTTCCCTCCAACGGCTATCCGTCCCGAAACCAATGCAATGGCTGGCGAAACGACCTTGCCACGCCAAAACGTACGCTTTCCGGGAAACGCCTCCCATAATGCTACGACAGCAAATTTTGCGTAGTTTATACAAGCGGGCCGTCAGCTTGAAAGCGCGCTTACGTAATCGCATGTAAAACGCTAGGACCCGGGCTTTAGTTGCAAAACGTAAAGTCTCTGATGAGTGAAGACGAAACGTAAGAGCCACAGAGGTTAAAGCGATGCTTTAGGCCACATCGTTGTTCCCATCGTGTGCTAATTTCCTGAATTAGCATAACAAGTATGAAGGGCACAGGCGCACCTCCGCGATAATCGGGTAGGCGGTGACTGTCAACTGTTGCGTGTGCTTCATAACCGTGCTCTCCGCTCCATTGTTTGGGAGAGACACACCAGTGAGCTATGATGAATGTTGTCGCAATCACTCGGGCGGTAACCGTAGGCGTAGAGTGAGCCCGCCCCCGATTGCAGTTTCTTCCAATAGTGATCAGTTAGTGATCCTCTTATTGGTAGAAAGCGCCGGCTCATTCCTTACCTCCTTGACACCGCACGGAGAATTGAAGATGTGCATAGGCAGCAATTGTTTGCGTCCACGCTGAGTTATCCGCCCCCAATCCTATAGACGGACCAGTTGCGCCTCGCCGGCTGACGCCGGCGTGGCTCCTTCTGATACGGCCCGGCTGCGCCGGGCGGGCGCGGCTTCGCCGCGCGTGCTTTCTTTCACATATTTCTAGATTCAACTGATATCCCCCTTTTGTTCTGTACTCCATTTTCCGGGTTGAAATCGCTGAACTTTTACGATTCGTTCGTCTGACTCCGTCCACCTCGGAACAGGCCCCGCCCACAATGTTTGTGCCCCACAATCCTCACCGACGACCCTCTCCTGACCTTAATCCACGTTTTTTTCCGGTCTTTGAAGTGCTCTGGGGCCGTTTTGTAGATCTTTTGTCTGATTCCGCCCACCTCGGAGCAAGCTCCGCCCACAATATTTTGGCCCCACAATCCTCACCGACGACCCTCTGCTGACCTTGATCCACTTTTTTCCGGTCTTTGAAGTGCTCTGGGACCGTTTTACAGATCTTTTGTCTGAACTCCGCCAACTCGTAAGCCAGGCCCGTCCCACAATGTCTTTTGCCCCTCAATCCCACCGACGACCCTTTCACTGACTGACTCCACTTGTCCGGTCTTTGACGTGCTCTGGAGCCCGTTGCAGAGTCTTTTGGTCTGGCCCGTCCCACCTGCGGGGCCCGCTGAGCAGGCTCCGCCCATAATGGTTTTGCCCACTGTTGCTCCGACGACCCTCTGCTGACCTTAATCCACTTTTTTCTGGTGTCTGGAGTATTCTGGAACCGTTTTACAGACCTTTTTTGTCTGGCTCCGCCCACCTCGGAGCAGGCTCCGCCCACAATTTTTTTGCCCTACAATCCTCACCGACGACCTCGCTGAACTCTAAGTCCACTTTTTCGCTGTTCTGTGGACCGAACCGTTTTACAGACCTTTTTTGTCTGGCTCCGCCCACCTCGGAGCAGGCTCCGCCCACAATTTTTTTGCCCTACAATCTTAACCGACGACCCTCTGCTGACCTTAATCCACTTTTTTCCGGTGTCTGGAGTATTCTGGAACCGTTTTACAGACCTTTTTTGTCTGGCTCCGCCCACCTCGGAGCAGGCTCCGCCCACAATTTTTTTTTTTTGCCCTACAATCTTAACCGACGACCCTCTGCTGAACTTAATCCACTTTTTTCCGGTATTTGGAGTGTTCTGGAACCGAGCTACAAACATTTAAAATGAATACCCTGCGATTTAGGGCAAGCCCCGCCCACTGTGGGCGGGTCTCAACACGCTTTGAGCGCCCTATATTCGCCAGATATTTACATTCTAAACTGAGCTTTTTGCGACTTCCAAACACTCTCGCGAACCGGGTTACTGAATTTTGCGAGAAGCACCGCCCACCTTGAGTACGCCCCGCCCATTTAGGGTGTACCTGCCACAGTTAGTCTGGCGACTCCTTACTAACCTTATTCCCTTTTTCCCCATCTTTAGGCTGCCCCGGAAGCGAATTATGAACATTTTTGTGCGGAACCCCAAACTTTCGGGGAGTGCCCCGCCCACTGTGGGCGGAGCTTCCCTTAGGTCAAGTGTGCTTTTTATTTCTTGTCCCACGCCCTACCCATCCCCACCTTGACCGGCCTCTCCAAGTCGTCACTCGCAACCGAATTCGGACAGACAAACTTACAAACAAACAAACAAACAAACTTACAAACAAACAAACAAACTAACTAACTAACTAACAAGCAAACAGACAAAGCGAATTATATATATGGGCCGTGATTTGTACAATGAAATGCTTCCCTTAGGCGAGCAACAAGCATAGGGGCAAGCATTTCTGCCTAACTATTAGGTTGTCCGGAAAGTTCTCAGCGTTTTGAGTGTTTCACTTCAAACGATCATAACTTTCTTAATACTCATCGGATTCAATCGAAAAGCACCGTTCAAATCAACACACTTTTGCCAATGTGGACGCCAGTCAAGAATCCCATCAAAGAACAACTGGGTGTCAAAAATCTAAGAAATACAGGAGCGGCTTCTTTGCCTGCGTCCTATGATGAAGTATTTTCCAGCAAGAGTTCCGAAAAGTTTGAAAGGGGTAGCGATTCCGAAAGGTCTGAAGAATATGGCGGTTGAGGTAGAACTTCAACCCCCAATTCGTTCAATTTATGGATAGTGATTTGTGAAACGTGTGGGCGGGCGTTGTCATGCAAAGAATCGGACCCTCTTCTGTTGACAAGTGCTGGCTGCAGCTGACGCAATTTTCGGTACATTTCGTCGATTTCTTCACAGTAGGACTCTGCTGTGATGGTTTGGCCTGGTGACAAAAAGTTATAGTGGATCACACCAGCCGATGACTACCACACTGTGACCATAACCTTTTTGTCGTGAGGATTCGGCTTTGGAAATTGCCTCAGGGGTCCGCCGGCATCCAACCACTGTCCGAAACGTCTCCTGTTATCATACATGATCTCCTTTTCATCACACGTGACAATTCGGTCCAAAAGCGGGTCGTTTCTGTTGTGCAAAAGCAGTGAAGAAGAAACCTCGAGACGTGCCAATTTCTGCCGGTCACTCAAATTGTGGGGCACCCACTTGTCGAGTTTTTTCACCTTCCCAATGCTTCAGACCCATGCCAACATGGATTGCTAACCGTGCTTTTTCTGCGACCTCTCGAACTTTTGGATGGGCCACAAATACCTTCAAATCTTCGTCAGGTATTGCTTTAGGTCGACCGCTACGAGGTTCATCTTCAAGGCTGAAATCTCCAGAACGAAATTTGTCGAACCATTGTCGCACGGTGCTTTCTCCAACACTAGTGGGCCCCCACACCTGGTTAATTTTCGAGCTGTCTCGACTGAGATGGCAAATTTGTAGTGAAAAAAAAAAAAAAAAAAAAAAAAAAAAAAAAAATGAACAAAATCGCCTCTGAAGTTGCTCGATTGGACAATCCTTGAAAAACTCTTGCAAAAAAGGTTCAGTCAAGCAATATGAAACGCAATCATACCATCAGATAGCGAAGAAAATCTCTTTAGATGTACTTACTGAGACTTCACGGGAGAATGATTTTAATCAGCAATGAAGTACAAACCAATAGTAAAACACAAAACCTGAAACTTTCCGACAACCTGATATCATCTACAGAACGCCCGAGAAATGAAAAATGTCAAAGATCTTTTTCCAGCCAGCGCTCCCTCACCGCACCCTACCAGGTCGCGAGAGGAGTTCCATTCTCCTGACTGTCGTCAACAAATCGATTCCTCATCCAAGCTACAGTTCCGTGCATATCTCCTATCACAAAACCAAGAAATAATTAACGTTATGATTGCTAATTAAATTATATGATATTAATTGGCACTCAATAATCATATGTATTCATAACAATCTTTACCACAATTATAATATGCTAACGTAATACAATGAGTCATATAATTATGTTATATCCGTCATCGATATATTACTTCGTTATTGCTCCGTGCATCTACAAAGACCCATTTCAGCCCCATCGGGGACGCTGCTCTCCGAAACTTCGGATAAAGTTCGTCGAGTGTGTCTCAGCAAAGAGGGCAATGAATTTGGACTCGGTTTGGAAAACTCGAATGGCGGGGTGGTGATTTCGAACGTGCCCGGAAGGGCCAATGGACTCGTCCGGAGGGGGGATCGTCTGCTTGACGTAAGTTGCTTGACTCCTTAAAGGTAGCCGGCACGATTGCTGAAGGCGGGCGGTTGTCGTCAACATCATGGTGGAACAGCTGAGTGGGAGTGTGGCTATACATCTTTTTGCGGCCACTCCACCAATGGCACTGGCAGAACTGCCCAACTTCAGTAATCGTGCCTACTGAGGGCCGTTAAATTAGCTTCAGAGAGATGGACATTTGCCCCACGCTCATAACAATACCATAATGCTAACTATTCAGGTCGGTGGAATAAATATGCGATCAGCCGATAAAGAAGCGGCCAGTAAGGTTTTGACGCAGTTCTGTGTAAGCCAGGATGAGGTGAGTGGAGGTTTCACAGCTGAAATTCCCACTTGTCCCCCACGGAAGCTTTTCGAGTTACATCTTGAAAACATCAATTATCGATCGGTCGAGTTCCCACTGAAAACTTTTCCATTCTACTGACTTGTCAGTTCAGCTGTTTAAAGGTCACGCTACTGGTGAGTGGCTCGTCTAATCCGCGCTGGGTTACTGTGCCAAGGAAATCTGTGCGTCTATGTGGAGGAAATGCTATGGGCATACTATCGGAAGCAGCAGCTGGAGAGCTCCAGGTATATTTGAAAGTTCGAGCGTATTGGGCTGCCTGAAATATTTTCCAAACTTTTATGTCCTGCTTTTCAGGAGGGAGATCTCATACTTGAAATCGACGGGTATAACGTGCGCGGGGCAACGCTGGAGGAGGCGACTGAGGCACTTCTTGAAAGCCTTTCTGAGATGGCCGAACTACATGTGGAGGATGGTGAGTGGAAGGTTATGTTACTTTTTTGGTATTCAAGGGACTAGTGCTCCCAGTGAAACCCCTTCTTTCTGAACAGTTTTCCTCACGATGCGTCATAGGTTGAGGATCCTCAAAAGGGCCTGCCTGGTCGCTGGAGACGCTCGTATTTGATTTGAAAAAAATCTCGAGTGCTAGTTTTTTCCCGTTTCGCACGCGCTATACTTGTGTAAGTTCAGTAAGATTATTGTTTGGTTGCATGAAATTCTCTGTACGGGAAGAGAAAATGTACAAGGAAGGGGAGGATTGCATCCAGCAAAATTCTCTTCAACGCTAGGATCTGCCCAGACTTTGCTATAATCAGATGTGAAATGGGCGGAGACTCATATTCTTTACTTCCTTCTCGCTGCCACATCCATCTGCAATTTTCTGAAAGGTGGGGCCAAAGAAGAATGGGAGACTCGGCTAGACTCATGCGATCAGCATGGTAATTTTACTTCAAAGCCGTCTTCCAGTAATGTAAAACTTTTTGCTGACCTCAATGCAAATTTCCTCGTTATGTTGAGCGAGGAATAGGAGGAATGAAGTGCTAGGCGCATTCAAGCGGTTCTCGGGACATGAACGGTCCAATAAACCGGGATGGTATCTGAGCTTAAGGTGTCGCCACATCGTGCTCCAAGGCACTGTGCTACGTCCGCTTCGGTTGAAAAGAAACAATTTTTTGTGGTCAAAAGTCAATAAAGCATCTTCCATCGGTGCACTCGTTCTTCAAAGCGCCCCTGTTTCCTATGGCGTTAGAGAAGAAGGAGCCAGCTTAGGGGATTTGACATCCGGTCATGGGGGATGGTGCCCGGATGCCTCCCGCCCACAAGACATTAGCGTGGACAGTAGGTCATGGTTGAGATGTGGGTCGCTTTTTTCACCGGATAACCGCCTGAACGTCTCTTGATAAGAACTCGCTATGATTGTTTACTTGCAATATAACTGCTGAAGAAACACATTTGAGCGACTTATGCACAGTTCCAGGCCATAAGTTGATTCTGAGGACTGAGTTACACGCCCACTGTCAAGCTGGAGTTGTGGCCAAAGATCCCTCTTTATGAGAGCGATTGAGCCCATTGAAGACACATGGTAGGCGCGTCAAGTACACATTGAGGGTGGTATGAGAATGCAGGTCGCTTAAGGCTGTTCGATGTGTTCGTGGTCCCCCTGCTCCGAAAACTGCACGGGGTCAGAGTACGGGGCCGTGGGAAAGTCGTAATTCCTTGCTACACCGCTCTCACGTTTATGCTAACACCCCGACCGGCGGCGGCGCGGTCGCGTGCAGCTCTCTTGGCTTTTTGCCAAGTCCTGTAATTGCGCTTTGGAATACAAGTACAACGCAATTTCTTTATGCGGATAACATTTTAGGTGCTGCAAAATAAGAACCGAAGATGATGACGAGGGCTAGAACTCAAGAGCAACTGTGGTGCTTCTGCAATATCCCTCAGAGGCCGCGCATTCCCACAGAAGCAAAGCCACGGACAATAAAAACGGACAACATGTACAATATAAACATAACTTCAACATAGTCTAAGACACAATTTTCTCTAAACATTTGAAGTAATTTTGCCTCATGCTTCAAAGTCCGATATTATGAAAGTGATGAAGATACAAAGGTAGAAATGAAACAACGAACGATATGTAGATTAACTATAATACAAATTGAAATAAATCTAAGGAAATCCAAATTAAAATTGAAAATCGTGCGTGTGCATTTCTGCATCCGGCTCCGAAGCCCGGTCTCTAATGCTTTATAGATAATACTTTCAAAGCTACCGAGTTGGACTGCTAGGCCGGTTTTTTATTTGATTGTTTTATGGGTGTCGTGTACCGTAGGCATATCGTCTCGCTGACCTCAACACCTCTTGACGCATCCTAGTGTGGTTCTAGAGTCCTCGGGATCCCCAGATCCTCTATGGTACTTCACTGTCATCCTCTTACTGGGGTCTCCTCTGTGTGGACTATCACTTGGTCTCCGCCCAGTGCAGTCCTGCTTCGAGGGTCTACAGGGTTCCTACCCATGGGGGGTCGTGGGGGGAAGGCCTGGCGTAGTCTACGTCCCAGGCGGTGTGTCTACCCCTGGCCAGCCACAAGGATCGCAGACCTAGGACGCCTGGCTGCCGTGTATCGCACATTTACTCGGAGGACCAGCTAATATCACACTTTATGCCTACGATAGCAGAGATCCTATCTAACATCCACAGTCGCCTTAGTTCTGTGGTCCTAGCCTGGCGCTCGCCTCTCTGTGTCTGTCGCTTAATCTATTGTATATATGGAAACACAAACAACATCAAACTATAAATATCTCTACATTATTGTTGCTGGATATCTCTCTGTAATATTCCACTTTCCTTCTTGCCTACTCTATCTTGCCGTTGTGGACGACCAATCCATCGGTACCATAGTTGCGTAGTTCGCGGGTAAGTAGCGGTCAAGGTTACTCTTTGCCTTGGCTGTCGCGAGTGTATAGTCCTCGTTATGCTGTACAGGTGCACTTCGGGCCTTGCACTCTCACGTTTGAGCGCTGCTTTGACCGTCTGCTTAATCACAGGCAGGAGAAGGGTCTTCTCGCTCCCCCGCAGGGTAAGTGGTGTCTCAAGAGAGCAACCGCTGGCGCTGGAGTCCTCTTCGCGCCGGCTTATTATATTATGCGGCAGCACGTCAGCGGGACATCAAGTGGTCCCGCGTGCCTATTGGTTGACGCGGAGCAGCGCATAGTTTGGCCGTAGGGCGCGACAGAGCTCAGGCGCTCGGCGAGCCCGGGGCAACAGTCGCGTTCCGCGACAGATGGGAATGCGCGGCTGCGAGGGCCCTATTGCAGAAGAAAGCACAGTTGCTCTTGAGTTCTAGCCCTCGTCATCAATACTTCAGTTTTCTTGGTTCTTATTCTTTTTAAAATGTTATCCGCATAAAGAAATTGCGTTGTACTTGTATTCCAAAGCGCAATTACAGGACTTGGCAAAAAGCCAAGAGAGCTGCACGCGACCGCGCCGCGCGAACGGTGTTAGTAAAAACGTGAGTTTGCAAAAACGGGCGGCGTAGCAAGGAATTACGACTTTCCCACGGTCCCGTACTCTGACCCCGTGCAGTTTTGGGCGGAGGACCACGACACATCGACAGCTGGGGGGGTTTTTTTCTGATAGTCTCATACCCCTCAGTGAAAGTTTGAGCGTACATGTCTCTTTTAAAGACAGCATTAGTAACGCTCACGACACATGTGAGGGTGTATGAGACTCAGCCCCTCAGCTGTCGATGTGTCGTGGTCCCCCCGCCCAAACATGCCCAGGAATGGAGATACAGGACCGTGAAACACGCTAATTCCTCCATGCTCCGCCTTACACCTTTTGCGGCGCAGATTCCCGTCGTTCATAACATCCGTTGCAAGCGCGCGTGTCGCGTGCGGCTCCTTGGCACTTTGCCAAGTCCTTAATGCGCCTTTCAAATAACAAGTGATAAAACGGCAATTTCCTGATGGCAGGATCACAATACTCGGCAGGTGGCTGCACAAATAAGGACAGAAGCTGATGAGACGAACTAAAAGCAACTGTGCCACTTCTGCAACATCCCTCGGAGGCCGCGTATTTCCACGAAACATGAAAATAAAACGGCATACTCGTTAGTTTGATACAAGCAAAACGCAATTTCCTGATGCGAATAAAATTTTAGGTGTTGCTCATACTTCAAAATCCATGTACAAGGAGATGAAGATGACACAGGCTAGAAATGAAGCACAACGATGTAAATGTAAATAAAACAAAAATGAAAAAATCAAGGAAAGGCAAATTAGTTGAAATCGCCTGTAAATTTCTACGATCCGGCGCGAATCCGGCGCCAAAGCCATAGAAATACTTAGAATAAACGAGTGGGACGCTTGGATTGTTTTTATTCTCATGTTTTCTGGGAATGCGCGGCCTCTGATGGATTCTGCGGATGCAGCCGAGTTGCTCTTGAGTTCTGGCCCTTGTCATCATCTTCTGTTCTTATTTTGTAGCACCTCCAATGTTATCCGCATCAGGAAATTGCGTTTTACTCGTATTTGAGAGCGCAATTAAAGGACTTGGCAAAGTGCCAAGGAGCCGCACGCGACACGCGCGCTTACGACGGATGTTATGAACGGCGGGAATCTGCGCCGTAAAAAGGCAGTGGGCGGAGCATGGAAGGAATTAGCGTGTTTCACGGCCCTGTATCTCCATTCCTGGGCATGTTTGGGCGGGGGGACCACGACACATCGACAGCTGGGGGGCTGATAGTCTCATACACCCTCAATGTGTGTACCATGTGTCTTTAATCGGCATTCCGAGGATTTTGGAGTGACGTGGAGATATCATTAGTTCAATTATGCTGGCGCGGCTACATGTGGGCGCGACCCTAATAAAATTTTCGGTTGGCGGGGCTGTCACATGCGGCACTGTGAGGTTACGGTAAGAATATTGTCACCGTGAACATCCTACGAGACTGTAATCCAACTTTCGAGTTTTCAGGCGGCGATCGACTGAATCGGCTTCGGCTTGGAGCTGATGGTGATTCCTTCTACGTGAGGATCAATGTCGATCGGAACAGTGAAAATAAGGATGAACTTGACATAAAAGCGGTAAGCTCCTGATTATTTTATTCATTACTTATTTTTGGTTCATTGTTTACTTATTTGATTTGTTATTATTGCTTCCCTATAAAATATGTGTTAGAGGGTGAAATAGTGTTTGTCGATAACACAATGTTCATGGGACAACGGGGCAAGTGGCGAGCATGGAAGGTGGACCGTGAGGGTCGACAACGTGAAAACGGAATCATTCCGTCGGCTACTCATATGGAACGCAGCGATTTGAGGGGCAAGAAAGCCAAGGTAGTGAGCATTATTCGCCCTCTTATAGACACATACTATATGGAAGACGACAGTGATGGTCATCCAGGTCAATTTCTGCCTCCTTTATGCAGCAACAGTGCCGTTCCTGGAAGTAGTGCGCACCAGAGTGAGCAGAGTTATTTGGATGTTTTTACCATTTCCCCACCCATCCGATCATCGTGCGAATGCGGCTGGTAAATGACTTTTTTTTGCCAGATCGCTATGACTCGTGACGCGACAATCTAACGAACGGTGTCGACGCGAGTTTGATCATCAACACGTACGACCGATTGTGCCTTGTTTGACACTTTCTTACCGTCCATTCATTTCAAACACTACTCGACGACTCGAGCAAGTAAGTTACGAATCAGCATTTCTGGTGAGACATTGGGCGCCTTGTAGACAAATTCTGCTATCGAAGTCTCGGGAGTCTCGCAAAAAGTGACCCTTTCTCATTGCTGGCCCTCTTTCTAATATAGTATACCCACCAGCAGGGCTCTAATATTGTATACTCATCAGCACTTCCTGCCGCTGAGGAATATTCAAAAAAATACCCCTCTTGCCTGACTTCCTCCTGGTGCGACCCCCCATCCCCCTCACTATCACTTCCACCTATCAGCTTACTGGCTTTTCCCTACCCTTTACCACTTTTTCCCAGTTTTCAAGACATTTTCCCACTTTTTCCTAGCAAAGGGAAAAACATGTTTTTGCCCCCCCCCCCACCCCCTCCATCGCCATCCGGACTTTACCCAAGATGTGGACAGCGAGGAACAGCAAAAATGATTGTCCAAAAACGACTTTCGCTGGCCAAATACGAAACCTGATTCCTCTACCGGCCAAACACTTCCCTCCCGCTGTAGGGATTCCCCAACGATGGTGCCCTGCCCACTAGTGAGTAGGGTACAATTGTTGTGGGTTCTTTTTCTATCCAACAGTCGCGGACTGTATCCTCAGCCCATAAACATGTTGTTTACGGCTAGTGCCAAACAACATCTTCCAAAAGTTGACTTCGATTGATATATTTAGCAACCGTTGTGTACCGATGGCCGCGGGGCGTCAAAAATCTTTTTGATTTGGAGTATCGGAGCCGCCGGATGCTTTTGGGTAGCAATACGGTTGTACTCATTCTTCGAAGGGACATTTTTACCCTAAGACATTCAGGGGGGAGGGACACCGGGCGAAATCCGGCGCAGTTCTGCTTGGTGGGGCCTTTGCTGGATTCCATCGATCGCTGCCAATACCTCTTGTGGCGAGCCATAAATCTAAATCCGGAAGCATAGGGGGGGGGGCTTCGTCTGTAGCTGGCAAGACTCTACAGGTTTCATACATGTAAGTAGTCAAGAATAACTAGCGAAAAAAACCAACGAAGGTGTGAAATGCCCCTCGAAGACAAACAGCGCTCAGATTCCAAAATGACGTGATCCGTTTGAACGCCTCGAATGGCCCTCGGCAGGGCCTCCTTCTTGTTCTACTGGAACCTTGGTCTAGGCTATTTTCGATGCCATCACTGGGGCATGATAGCATTGGAGCGATAGCGAAGCTTTGGATAACTTTTTTTTACTTTTTTTGTATAAAAATCAATCTGCTGACTTCCCAGGGGAAATGAGACATGGTACTTGAAAGTGCATTAAGCGTGTCATTCATCAAAGTCAATTCAGATTCTCACACTGTGTACCGGAATGCCGTGCCTTACAGTCTATGGAAGTGGATCGACTTTTGGCCAGCTGTGAACTGATCGAGGCCAGAAGAAGGGAGACACTCTACGACGTCATCACTGCACCTGCCATTCAACATTTTGCAGAAATGGGGTGAGAAATGATTTGATTGAAGAGAGTTTGGCCCAAAACGCTCCACGTGACCCTTTCAGGATCCACTGTATAGTTGACGTGTCACCAAGTGGAATTCAACGTCTTCATTCTCTTCGCATCTATCCCATTGTTATTCGTATCAAATTCAAATCGGCCAAGCAAATCAAAGACGTTAAGGAAGACTTCTGTGGAGAGAAAATCACCACAAAACAAGCTAAGGATCTCATCGACAAGGTATGGCCTTGCTGTTTCTCAACTAATCGTCCACCTAACAACCTCACACCATAAGCCCTAGTGTCTACAGAGAAGAGGGAGGGGACAAGAAAGCGACACATTTGTCATGGCGAGTGGAGTTTAAGGCACAGGGTTGATTGGAACCCAAATCAAAACGCCAGAGAGATGACGGCTGAGAGTTGAAGTGAACAGTTCGGTCTAAAAACCATTCCTGGTAAGTTCATGATGAAAGAATAAAGGCTTTTTCTCGCCTCCTCTGTAGAGAACTGATCTGTAAAGGACTGTTGCGAGGGCGTTTGGCCACACCCCCACTCAGCCTCTTCTACCAATGACGTTGGTGACAACCGCCCACCCACACGCTTCGTACCGCGCCTGGCCTTCTCATCCCTTACAACAGAGTAATCAATGCAGTAATTTGCGATGAGGCGTGCCCTTATTACTCACCATATAAATGCTACCATTCAATCTTCGGCTCCCTTTTCAAAGGTTGTGAACATTCTTGTGAATCGCGCTATGGAAGTTCTTGCCGACGCTGTTTCCTTGCACTTGTGTTTATCCTCTGGATTTTGACGCCACGTGTTCTGTCCGCACCAGGTGCAAGGCTTTTGCCCCATTTCTCAGCACTCTCGTGATTTATCAGTTCTTCTCTTTTGGTTAGAGTCACGCGCCCTAATCGCAATCTTCACGGCATTAAATATCCTAAATTGTTAGCCGGACGCCATTGCCCCATCTTAGGCAGCGTTCAGACTTGTAGCGCTACAGTTGATACACAACATAGATCTGATTTTTCATAACTTTTTTCGACATCGTTTTTCACATTCGATCTTCACAAAAAGATAGTCATGCATTTACAGCACTAGCACGCTAAGCCCCGCCCTTGTGAATATAGACTATTTTGAAAATATTCTTCCGAATTTTCCAAACAGCTTTATTAGAGGTGTTTGCAACGCCGCCGCCACTAATGGGAGCTCCGCCCACTTTTTAGAAGCCCTGCCCACTTTTCACAATGATGCAGATCGGCGAGCTAGTGACCTTACCAGCAGGTTATGGCCTCTCCCTCACCGGAAACAAAAGTTTACCTTTTTCTGGTCTCTCCTTTTTTGGGATTCTACTGCTGATGCAAAAAGGTCATAACGCGCTGGTATGTGACACCAGCATTCGCCCGAACTGCATCATTTATTGAGAAGTGGCGGATTCTGCAAATTTTGGACGAGCTTACATTAGTGGCGGTCGCTTTGCCACAGCTTAAAAAAGTGAAAATTTGGAAGAACAATCAAAATCCGCGAAAAACGAAAGTGGGTGTGGCCAGGGCACGGAGCTTAGTGTGCTATTGTGCGCTACTGTGCGCTACTACGTGTTATCATACAACTGAATGCTGCCTTAGCGTTCTAAGAAACTTATGAACTTGAAACGGCACATACGGTCGTTATCACTGGAGTCAGTCGGAGCGTGTCAGAAGCGCGTGAGCTTTACGCGACACCAGTCCCCCTTCCCACTAATCATTGGACTCCACACGCCGCAACGATCGACAGAAAATAGGCTGGCGTCGGACACGCCCCGACTGACTCCATGATAACGGATATGTTTTGCCAAACTGTGGTAGTTACGTAATTACAGGCGTCCGCCGTGGAAAAAGAACTGGAGGCGATGAATTGTTCAGCTTCGGTACTGATGGTCACTTCACAAGGCCCAGCTAGAGGAGTTGTGAAGCATGTGTGTCAACAGGTGAGTTACAGTACAGGGTTACGGTACGCTTCTACGAATAGTCTAATTTCAGATTGTGACTCTGATAGAACATGAACAGAAGAAAACCATCTGGATGACAACTCCACAGTAACTTCGGCACCTTCTCAACCGTTCACAAATTCCTTTTTAGATGTCCCTCCTTTATAATTTTTGAAATTCAATGGGTACTTCATGGGATTCTCATTCATTTCCTATTTTCCATCTGAAATACACCTATACGCACTATGTAAGGGTACTCTTAATCACTATTACCCCTACTTTTTGCTACTTAAATCTTCCACTACAGTGTGTCCGTAGGCACATTCCGTGGTAACTGAAATGCGAAGTAGGCAGAGACTCACAAGTCTGCACGGTTCGGCTTGGAGAGGGCACCGAATAGTACTTAGCTAAACTTATGCAGGTCACCTTGTGAAGACCTGTGAAGCCTTGTAGCCAAAGTGGCTCACTTGCACCTCTTTGCGGCTTCACAGGAATTTACAGGTTTCATCAAAAGGAGACATGTTATTGAATATGAAATAACAAAAGAAACCAGCAAAAGTGCGAGAAGTCCCCTCCAAGCCGGACTGTGCCTTCAGCCCTTCCTATCTCCATAGGGGCTCCTCATTTCCATAGTTCTGGACAACGACGTGCACCAGCAAAGAAGGTGTGACTTTGTGTGTCTCGAGCCGTTTCCCTTTTCAGTTCTAGTAGTGACCTATTGGTAACTGCGTACGTTTATTGATCGAAGGCGATGCGTTGTTCACGAAAACGGAGAACGTTCCATATTTATTCTGTACAAACTGTTGTATATCATCACGTCATTATAATGGCATTTTCACTCATTCGATTCGTATTTTTTCCGCATTTTTTCATTTTTTCATTTTCTTTTCTCCTTCTCTCATGCTCCGCTCCAATGATACTTTGTGTAGTGTCCATTCGTTTGTGCAGCATTTCGGCTATGATTTTCACATTCCGAAGCTGAATGTCGTCAAGCTTTGGGCTGCTGGTGGCAAGTTGTGATATATTTAACCCCTGAGCTGTGATTCATGTTAGCTATTCGCGCCCGGTTATGTATTTTGCACTGGCATAATAAAGTGTAGTTCACTTGCATCAATTCAATCCTGCAGGACCAGCTCTCTGAGATTCTTCGAATCAAACCAACATGGGGTTGGTTAGCAGACTTAGTTCCTGGACTTTGTTAAAGCTGTTGATTAGGATATAGCACTCTTTCAACAGCAAGAAGGATTACATAGGCACAGCCAGCACTGGGGTCAATAGATACTCCCTGCCTAGCACTCCGCTACAGTTCGAGCGGCTGGTTTTCCCGCCCCCAGACTCCGCTTCAAGGCCCGTCTTTCAGGGGAAAACAAAGCTGCATGACGAGAAGGCATGAAAGTCGTCATTTGTACGATTGTAGGGTTCTTATCGGGATATGGCGACGGATGAGGGCGTAGTGTTGGAGATGAAATAACTGGGCGTTTAAAACTAGGTTTGAAATTTGGGTTCTTTCATTGATAATGCTTTTAGCTGCTTTCTTCTTCTCACTATCCGAGTTACTTCCAGAACCTGCTGAACATACCAACCCCAGTCACTACTCTGTGATGATGAATGATTGCGGGTTTTGCCTTTAGCAGCGTATACCCTCGAAATCCTCAGAGATGAGGTAGGCGTGGCTGCGTTTTTCAACTAAACGTGGCGGTTACTAAGCTTTTGGATAAATATTTCCATTTTGACACAATTGTGGTCGTGTCTCTATCCAATTGCAGAAGCAAGTATGACAGTATTGCTCAAACTGATCCTGCGAGTGACCCGCTCTGTGCCATGCTAGAATGCCACGCTTACTCCATCTGAGGGATACAAAGTATACTTTAGGACCACCTCTCACGGCTTTTCAAAAAATTTAGATCCAGATTTTTTTACTGAGACTTGTCCCTAAAGTGAATTGAATGAAAAATTTGTTCCCATGGCTTGTTCTAACTCCTTATCAGGGGTAGTATCCTCACGGAGCGAAGTGTCTGGCATTCCAGGTCCCTGATCACGAAAGTCGCACCAGCTAACATCGATGTATCTTACTGTTGTAGCTGAGAATATCTGAGAGGCAGTGTGTGGGCGTAGCCATGAGGCCGGAGAATTTCAGCACGGAAAAGGGACTAGAAGCGTTGCTGTAAATTATAAGAGCCCGGTCACGCGAAATCGCAGCGTGGCGGGCCCACCACCAGCACTCCCAGATATGCACCGTAGCCATAAAGGCGGTTTGATAAGAGTTCCTTGAGGAAAGGTTGGAGCCGCCATGCATCAAGCCTCTTGTATGGTAATGTCGTCCCACATTTTTGCTCTGAACAATGTGAAGAGCGTGTTTCAGAATCAACTCACGAAGCAGAGATTAACTTAGCACATTGAACAGGCTGAGAATTGAAAACTTCTGGAAAAAATTTTGTTTTTCTTCAGTGTGTGTAACAGAAATATTTTTTTCAGTTAAAAGCATTCCAAAAAATAAGTGATGGTGCTTCAATTTGATGCATTCTATATAAGTAAAATATCTGTGGTCTAATTGATGCATTCATATAAGACCATTCCGACAGCATTTTCGTTCCGCGTTTTTTCCTTCCTTCCTTTTGCTCTCTTTCCTTTTTTATGACGTAAAAAAGCGACTGTATTGAAGGTATAATAGGACTGTCTTGTTCATCAGCTGACCGTAACGAGGGCTTGCCGTTCCTTGGGAATGCCCACTGTGAGGGTCGTGTCGTGGGTTGGGGGGGGGTCGGCAAGTGCAGGAAACAAACTGCAGAGATTCGTAAATTGGAAAATAACTCTGTAAAAGTGGTAGGAAATTGGGAGTATTTGGGAATGGGGAAGGAATTTTTCCCCAATGCAGGTCGTGCTCTGCCTGTGACTTACTCCATAGAGCAAATCAACTTCAAAAACCACTACTATTCCGAGTGCTGAGACATCCCTAAACGGGATTGTTCATTGCAGAATGCTTTCTTTCTATTGTCTCCGATAAAAAACAGGATAAGCACATAACGGGGGCAGTAATTGCGACCAATTGTAATCGGCGTCTTCTGCGCCCTACGCCTACCTGTTTTTGAGATGTTCGTTAACATGAATGGGGCTATATCTGTGGGTGTAAGCGGATTCGAGCCAGCATGTCAGGAGGTCAGAGAGGTGGTCTGTCAGAGGACTTTGGGTATAAAATTCGTTCCCGGCATTCAGCTATGAATGACAAGAGCGCCAATTGAGTTGCAATACGACTGTCAACAACGACCGGCTGTAATAGCACGACGGCGACGACAAATGTGTTTGTCAACAATCGGCAACACTTGCTTACAGTAACTTAAATAACGACTGAAACAAGTCACTGCTAGTAAAACCCGCTGACTTTGATAGTTCTTCACCAGTCAAGGGTGGAGTTGGTATATTGACAAGTGGCGCCGCTAATCACGTCAGTGATCTGGACGTCAAAATACAGACCAGAGTCGCTGTCGACGGGGCCACATAAGTCATTCATCCTTTTGAAGAGCTGATTTGGAATTACACGACCGGGGCCATAAAATACCGAATCACCTTATTTTCTGGGTTAGAGCGGGGAGACAAGTCGGTAGAGACCGGAACAGTTTTCCTGGATTTTTTGCATTGCTTAATCTCTCAAACGGCATTCAAACTCCTTTCATTTAATATAAAATATTAATATGGAAGAACGAACAAAAAAGACGTGCAAAAATAAATAGAGAAAGAAACATTCTAGGCGTTCTTAGCTAAGGTGAAAACCCTATTGGGGGGGGTGGTTGGCAAAAAAAACACTTTTCCTCGACTTTCAAAGCTGAATAAGTTACACTTTATTAGATTCTGACTGGACATTTCCACCATCAGATTCAACAACACATTGTACATCACGAAGCACCGCCAGAGCCTTCTGAATCGAACTATCATGTTAAGGCTCCGCATGAAGCGCCGGTATGCGAGGGGGTCAAGTCAGGTGGCATATTTGATATTTCGTCTTCTTCAGCAGCTCAACATCCTCCATTTAGGCGAGAGTTTTCTTCAAATGTTTCCGTATATGTGCTGGCTTGCGGCGCAATTCTGTAGCAGAACGAAGTTTCCAAACGGTACAGGCGACACATGAAGGCAGGATATTCTCCTCGAGTTGGTCGATGTAACCGTCAGCGTTCACTTTCAATCCGGGGCACACGAAGACAATATTGGTCTTTCCATTCCAGGTATACGTTTGGTCCATACTAACCGCGTCATGGCATACTGCGTGGATGATATCCTGGAGTAAAAGCGGTTGTCGGAGCTGCTCGATGTTGGAGGTCCTCAGATCAGGAGTCTCGTGTAAGCTATCCATGGCGTGACTCTCATAAAAGAAGTTTGCCAGGATGACTTCATATTTTGGTGTAAATGAAGGTGATGGGAGAGGAGCCTGCTCCTGCTCATCGAGGAACATCTTGGACTTTTTTTTGGCCCCTCCTCGGCGGGGAAGGCCAAAAAAAGTCACTTCGACCGAGTCACATATCAGCAAAGTTTTCGCTGCCCAGACAGAGGACGTGGATACGAGTACCAGGGCGGAAGATACCCAAGATGTTCCTCTATAAGCAGGAGCTGGCTCTCGCCCATCACCTCCATGTGTACACCAAAATATGAAGTCATCTCCAGTCGCAGCCTGACTGGAGAAGACCTTTGGAATTCATGTCACCTCCAAACAGCTGCGAAACTTCTAGTATGGAGTCACCCATGATAGCTACTGGAGAGACCAGTACTCTCGATCTGGATGACCTCCAACATCGAGCAGCTCCGACAACGTCGCCACGGTCTAGGACATCATCTTCACCGCAGTCGTCAAGGAGCGGGTTGATGGTATGGACCGGAGGTACCTGGAATGGAAAGACCAATATTTTTTCTTCGTGGACCCCGGACTGAAGGTGAGCGCTGGCGGTTACATCGAGCAACTCGAGAAGAATATCCTCCTCACATGTGGTCGCCCGTACCTTCTTGGAAACTTGTACTGCTACAGCATTGAGTGCCACCACATGAAATCGAAGGGCGTTGGAAAACTCGCCTACTTGGATGAACGGGGCTGAGTACCGTAAACAAAGATGGACTATCCAAAGTAGGTCATTCTGACGCGAATCGCCCTCAATTACCCGGTTCGAAGCCGGAGCTCAAGTAGGGTGTCTAACGGTGGTGGAGAAATCGAACTCACATCTCGCGCATCTCAGGCACCACAATCGCGGCGTCGCGTGGCCAAGTATCTCTCGATGGCGGCTCTTCCCAGAAGGCTGAGTGACGGAGCGTCGATGTATTATAGTATTTATATGCTCTTTAATATGGTGGTAAAATGTCCGATCAGAATTTAATAAAGTGTAACTTATAGCGCCTCGAAAGTCAATGAAGAAAAGTGACTTTTTTTGCTCCCCCCCCCTGTATATGAAGCGCGTTCTATCTTTAAAAACTAGGGCATACTAGGTGATGAAGGAAGCGTTGTTGGTTTTTGGTGCTCTAACTTCCTGTTTTCTATGTTCCTTTCATCGAGGCTGCTGTCACTTTACAGTATTGTTTTGAACGCGCAATTACATCACTAGCATTACATACCAGCACCCTCCAATGGCTCAATCAATTTTGTTTGCAGGTGGATTCTCTGGTTATTCCTATAGTCTCAACGAGCATGGACTGATGACGAACTCGCTCAAGTTTTTCTAATCCATTTCAAATGTGACAGGAAAATTTTGAAAGTGGTCCGGGATACCAAGGAAGCGGTTAAGTTTCGAATAACTGGTGAACGCTCTGAGCAGTGGTGCTTAAGAAGTTTCGTACAGGTCATGAAAGCCTCGTAGTCGATGAAGATTGTGGGAGGCCATAAAATTGTTGACAGCACAATATAGTGCAGTATAAGTACACTCGAAATCCCTGGGATGAGGTAGGCGTGGCTGCGTACTTCAACTATCCGTGGAGGTGGTCATGCTTTTGGAGAGACATTTCCATTTTGGCACAATCGGGGCTGCGTCCCTGTCCAACACAGAAAAAAATGACAGTTGTTTCAACTGAAATATCCCACGAGCAACCCATTCTATGCAGTGCTGAAAGGCCACGCCTACTCCGTCTCAGGGATAGAGTGTAGAAGAAATCCACGTTTACCGCTGAAGGACCTCCTGTTAAGGAGTATTTCAAAAAGGCCAATCTGTACTCTCATGCAGGAAAACGGGAAGATGAAGAAGCTCGGTAATGGATTGGCGCCCAAATTGCGTGAAGACCAGAATAATGGGCGGTTCGAGTTCTCCTCAGCCCTCCTTTCATGCAGCAAGGGTCACGTTTACTATACCGTATTGTGAAGTGTGATGAGGAGTGGATTAGTACGACAACTTTCGACGACCCGGGCACGAGGAAGCACGAAAAGAAGGCCATACTGGTGGATTGGCCTCACCACGGCGTCACGGACCTAGGCGAGACCAGTGAAAAGTATTGTTAAGAAGTTGTCGAAATGCGCCCCAAACTTCCGCTCAAGCTCGGCACGTCACAAGAAGGGGCCGCTTCACTCTACGACAGCGCGTGGACGCCGCCTGCTCACCCGGAGATGGAGGGGTGTGGCTGCGTGCTCATTTGAACCCGACTAAGGAAACGTAGGACGACGAATCTACACTTCTGTCTGCGCTGGAAAAGACTATTTTGAACCTTTAGAGAACGATCATCATGAGAAAGTGTGGCTCAATAGAAAAATACAGTCGCGGCGCTTATGTTCAAATGGAGTACGCCCACGCTCATCTCATTGGTATGGAGTGTGCCTCGAAAAAACCTAAATGAGCTATGCCATGGAATTCTCTCGTTCCCATCGCATTTACCAGACCTGTAACCCACTTGTGACCTTTTTCAATTTTTTTCAATCGCCTAGATTGTTTGTACTCAGGAAGAAATACTTCAAGCCAACATGATGCTTCAACGACAATTTACCGCTCTCGACGCCCTTATTTCTTCGGAATTACACGTAGGCAAAATAAACGGACCTGTTTCTCGTTGACAGTAGTGCGATAACGGTTGTCAATTTGATTCATGAAAATTTTTTTAAGCCGAAATATGCCCATAACTGGAACTGGAAGCAGCAAGAACGATCTGAACGGCCTTATGCATCGGTCCCCCCTTGACCGAAGTCATTGTCTAGACCGTGTCGCAGTCGCGCACTCATTATTACCCTGAATGCACTCCAAGTTCACCTGTGTTAGTGCTGTTTTACTGGGAAATCGGCACTATTTATCCTTTACTGCCACAGCCATCCAGGATTGAGCCTGTTTCTGACCGACTTCTTTCTCCGTGGACAGATTTGCCTCTAATGTTGCCTCCTGGGGTCAGTTTGAGCTCCTCAATAAAAATAAGATTCGCTCAGCCGACCGCGCGCAGGGCAGCGGCGGTGGGCTTGGGGTATTTTGGCGCCACTGCCTAGAGGCGTGGTCGCTAGGTTTGGGCAAAGACGTGATTTCATGGTCAGGGGTCACAGCTTATCCCAGGGATCGGATCTTTTCAGCCAATTTATGCAACCGCAGAAAAAAGTCGGTTCAAACTGACGCTGGTTTTTGGAGGATGAGAGCAGTAAAGAGTAAATTCTGTTGAGGCAGTAAGGAGTAAATGGTGCCGAAATTTCTTCTACACTAGAGCCTGGGAATCTTTTTTCACATGTCTATATTTCCAGGAAAATTCTCCTTACAAAAGACATCCGAAAATTACGTTTACGAAGATGACGGTATCCTTCCTTTCTGATGTCTCTCGGATTTGGAGGAGATTCCCAAACCATCTCAGAGCCGTCAGAGAAGTTCTTGCGCGTGGATCGATCCATAATTAGTCTACATTTGTCGGAAGATGGGGCTGGATCGGGTAAAGAAACGTCTGCCGATGTTTCACGAGTGTAGATTGGGTACAAAATTGCTACAACGGCCCAAATGATCCATTAAGCACAGAGTGAAGCAACAGTTGGGCAATAAACTGTCTGGTCTCGTCAATTTAAGACCTAAACCAAGGGAATCGCGCTATTTCACTAATTTTAGATTCTTCTAATGGTCACGTTATAGCGCCTCCGGCACTGCTCTCGTTTCACCACATCCTTTCATCTGCCTAGCGGCTGAGGCGAGAGCCGCGCGCCCAAAACCCGAGCCACCTCCTAATTGGCCTACAAACAACCTGTACTCGCTCTCACGCTCAACTCAAAAGTTTCATTTGGAAAGAGGTAAAGGTTGTGTTGCCAGAGCCCATCCTGGCAATCAGGAAAATTTTCACAGAATACGACCTCGCTTCTCCTTTTTTTCTATCCAGTACGACCTCTCTCATAACTTATCTACAAATTTACCGTTCCCGTAGGGTAGAAGAATCGGTTTGCCTCAGGGCACATCGCTCTTGGGGATTCCCCAACAGAGGGGGGGGGGTGTATTTGCGCTGAGAAAATTTTTTTTTGAATAGTTGATTTTTCGTGTTCTAGAAACGTTGTAAAGGAGAGGTCGTATTCGCTCGTAGTTGGGAGGGCAGGAGGGGTCGTATCTCCCTTCTACTTATAGTGCTCCCTTTCCCGCCGCTCGACAGCTCAGTGGGGAACGAGGGAAGGGGAGGGGGCCGTAGCAAACCCTTTAAAAAAGAGAGTCGTACGGCTCTACCAAATCCCAACCAATGATGTGCCCTGGTTTGCCTGAGCGGGCCAACCAAGTCAACCAAGCCTTTTAGCCTACGCAACCCGACGCCCGCAACTTGTCACTAGACTAGCTCCGCCCCAGATTGCAAAATAGACCGGAAGAACGTTACTTCTCGTAAACAGAATTTCATGGGTGAAGAGCCCAGAAACCCGAAAACTTTGACCTTCTATTGCTGTTTCTGTTTTTACATTCAATAGGAAGGCGGAAAATGTAGGATTTCACCTCCTGATCTTTGAGGCTGCAAACATCCCCTCACAATCTATAAATTCAGCGTGGTGAAACTTTCTCATCATAGGAATGCAGTTTCGGGTACTAAGAAAGTATGATCCAGTTTCACCGTCCGATTAAGACTTTTTTAGATATGAGTGTTCGTCTGCCAAGCAGGAAATCTGCCCGCCACATGCAAAACGCCACACGAAAAACCAGTGAAGTGATTACTTCACCTCCACTCGTTTCACTCTTCACCAGTTTCTAAAGGATTAAGGACAGACAAAAAACGTTCGCCATTCCTCAAGTTACAGATGTTTCAAGCACTGATGTGGGGAATCTAATCTATATACGGTCCTGTTCGCTGGGGATGCTGGGGCAAGTCCCAAAAGGTCAATCAGGGTACTAGGTTTGGCGCGGTGCTAGTTCGTTATCCACCAATCGTTAGATTGGCGCTGTGGCAAACCCAGCGCCCTGAAACTGACGCTCCAGCATCTACAGTGAACAAGCCTGAACAGCAACTGCACAGGATTTGGTTCTATCTTCATCTCGATCCGCAGCTGCTGAGGTGATGTAATGTGAAGTGGCAGTGGCGTTTCTTGTTCAGGCGCCATGTTTGGCAGACAAATCCCGGATCTGTCTCGCGTGGGCTGGAAAGAGCGTCCCTGAAACGCTTTAGTAACACGCTACCAGATGTCTGTCAGAGAGATATTGACTCGTGTTCTACCATTTACCACATTACAGGTCAGATCGCGGGGTATGTGACAGGAGAATCGTAATTCACTAGTGTGGGCGACGATCGCGTGCGACCCCGCTAATGACGACGGTTTTAGGTGGCATTGGTCGGGAATAGACAGAGCAGGCCAAAAACAGACATAGCTGTCTTCCATATCCTTGTCTAAATGAACTCTAATGCTCCAGTCAAAAGGGTAGCGCAAGTCAAAGAAACGCTCATTGCCGCGCGCGACGGAGGTGCAGTTTACGATTCTCTTGCCCGTCTCCCCAGATCGCGACCAAACGCCAGTGTAATTTCGGTTCAAAAGAGGACGATGCAGCGTACCCCAATGGATTGAGCAACAAAGAACTCTCTGAATCTTTAGCTCTGAGAGACAGTCCGTCATCGCCGTTGATAGCTGGGTTCGAAAAGGAGGCATAGGTGCATACAGTTGACTCGGTAGTGATGACAAAACAAGGATCACACGTAAAACGCTAACACAAAGCGCAGTGCCAAAGCCAAACAGTGCGCGACAATGAACGCTAAGCGGCAGGGCGGGCATTGTTTACTATGCACGCCTCTTAAAGGCACATTCCGCGATAAAATAAGGCTATGACCTCTCAAATGTGTCGGACGATCCGGAAGGCGATTTTTGAGGCTGCGCTACTTTCAAAATGTGAAAAACGGCAAGAACTCCGCTAGAAGCTGACTAATTAGGCCCATGGACACCCCTTAGGCCCATGCCGACCCTCACCGGCTGCTAGCTACTAGCTAGTAGCCACTATGGTATCTTTCTCTTATAAACATTTCGGACTGCTTTTACTGCTGCTTTTCTCCGCTAATCAGATACTTAGCACTTTTTTGTGCCTATTTGAGTTCCGTTTCCCGCAATTTGCGGTCGCGAACTGTGCCTTTAAAATAATATTGCTGCAGGCGCCCTAGTTCGCTCACATGGTGCAGTGGAAATAGTAGGAGATTTTTGAAACTGAAATCCCCCTAGGCGAGAAGGACTTTCTAGAAATTCCATTCCCAGCGATGGTAACTGTTTGGCACTCTTGTACCTTCTTCCCCCTCCCCCCCACCCCTTCACACTTTGAGGCTTGACTATTATTGCAAGCTGACCGATTAGAAGATGTGGAGTGCGCTCTTGAAGTCAATTTTGTGAGGAAGTACTGTATCTCAGGGTTATGCAAGTGCGAAATGAAATTCGGGGTCACCGGACCCCGGGGAACAATCAAGAGTGACTGTCTCAAAGGCAGTGGGCACAATTAGGCCCTGGTAAAACGCTTAAATCAAGCAGGGTTCAGCATCGTTCCGTGAAAAACACGAGGTCCGTACTTGGATCACTGGGAGAGGACTGTTATTTGGCCGTTGTTGGGAGAGGGTGGGGGGGGGTTGTATAGAGGATATTTGTGCGCATTGGAAAAATTTTTCCCGCTTGTTGACTTTCCTCGATTTTTCCTGTCCTGTGTACCCTCCCTCCCGCTCCACAGCAGAATTTCTGGGGAAAAGTAGGAAAATTGGCTGGCTTATGACCAACTTTTTTCTTTGTTCGGCTATGCTGTGGATAGAACACGTTCACATGACCACCAAAGCGGCGTGCCAAATCTCTGCGTTACACGCGCCTTGAACTGGTTTTCTTGAGACAAACTAGTTTGAAGGCGACATTAATCTTGCGGAAAGAGAAATTTATTAGATATCACGAGCCGAAGGCAGATGTTCTGATTAGAAATGCTAAAAAAGGGGTTGACCAGTGACGGATTTGGGCGGGGCCCATCTTTCCATGGGACCGCTCCAAAAGAATGTCGTCCAGTAAGTATCGTGAAGGAGAAAGACGTCAATAATCATCTGGCTCGCTTCGAGAGCAGCTTCTACCCG